GTGCTCGCCGCTCGCAGGTGCGTGAAGGCACGAGTGTCAGGACAGTGAGTGGTTTTGAGATGAACGGGCTGGTTGGGAAAATGTGGTCACAACGCTACTGTACGGGTGCCGCGGTAGGGAGTAGGGTCTGTCAAACGGGGGACTAAGAGAATCAACGGGGTGGATGGGGACATTTAATCTCTTTCATCAGTTGACCATCTTAGGGCAATGTGTGTCCGCTTCCGTGTACCCGTGCCTGTAAAAGTACCTGCTTTTTGGGGGCTTGGAATTTGAGAAAGTGCTTATTGAAGGGGTTGCAGCTGGAAGGAGGGCTGTGGCTTGTCGGATCGACCTTGCTGCTTTACGGAGAGGGAAACGTGATGGTAAAAATGCGCTAGGACTTGAATCTCTCCGGGATTGCAATCCTGGAGCTTTAGTGAACTCTCAGTGAAGTCTCTCTTAAAAATACGGTCAGACCATAGTGGCAATTTTGCAATCTGAGGTGCCTTTTTTTTCTGTTTTTAAATTTTATTGGAACAAGTCATACTGCTCTTGAAGCTTTTTTTGTGAAATGAAATCGTAAAACACAGAGGCATGACCTCAACTACCCAAATGTTTGTTAACCTTCATAAGGTTAAGTGTCTGTACTCGAGCTCTCATTACAGAATAGTGGATTTTAAAAATAAATTATCTTTCCATACAATTTTTTAAATTAAGACTAGGTTAAAAACAACTTAAAAAAATACCATTTTTCATGGTCTCATATCTTACAAAGTCCTGCCTAACTAAATTGTCCAACTTTTAAAATCTTATTCTCCGCAGTATACATGAGAAGTTGACAAGAAAATGACAGAGGGTTTTTTGTGGTTTTGTTTTTATAGTCAAAGAGCTCAAATACTACTTAAAATGGGAAGTGTACTTTGTCCTGTATGAAACTGCTCTTGTGTCACCATTGTAATGTGTATTTGTCTGTCATCTGTGTCTGCCTGTCATCTCTCTGAAGTTCTACTGAAATGTATGGGGAAATTAAGACAGTGAAATATGATATAAACAGAAGTTTGGAATTGAGGCAATATGTTAGGGCATCCCAAGTTGGAGCCAAAAGAAGTGTATGTGCCACCTGCTATTCTGTATATTCCTCATAATTCCTGTCAAACAACTGGAAGTACTTCAGAGATTTTTGCAGAAATGTTCATGTTACACATCAGTTCAGTCAGAGTCGTTCACTTGCTTATCTGTAGATGGGTGCAGAAATGCAGGGGAAGTGTGTTTGGTGTGCTTGGTAAATGAAGGGGGTTTTCATTTGGTTGAGGTCATCATCCATGTGACAAGTACTGCAGCCCACACATTCATTCACGTACATTTTTATTTAAGTGTGAGTGGCAGGGCTCATCAGAATTGAGAAGGTGGAGTGCTTATAATATATAATGGTTGTATTTAGACATTATCATACATTCTGAGGGCGTAACATACCTATTACGAACTTTATACCAGTACTCACATCTTCAGTTATGACTAATTTTTTTTTTTTCCAAGAGCAGCATGATTTATGATCCTTGTAATATTTGGTTTTCTTCTTACTCTATTAATATGTAAATGCTAATATAATATTCACCCAGTTGGAAGGTTTTTTGCTGCCTTTGAGCAAAAACTTTGGACAATGTAAGATGTTACGTGTTATTACAGGGGTTCCTTATAATCTAGAGCTGAACTCAGAAGGAGACATACCGCATGGTAGGTACTTCGAATAACCTACCAGACCTTTGTAGTTATGACATACAATCTGTGGTGTTCTGTCTCCTGTGTGTAAGGGTGCTTTGAATCACAAACAGAGAAGAAAAGTTCTCCTTAGGTTTCTGTTGTGTATACACTGACTGATCTCCTTGGAGATAACATCTATCCTAGTAGAGGTGTGCTGTGCCAGTCTCACCACCTTAAGAACAGAACCTGAACTTTGGTACAGGATCCCACAGGTATGTCAGTAAAATGGCATTCCCATGTAGTTTCTAGAATCTTTTTTTACCCTAGGCTGAAGTGCCAAGAAGACTTCCTTGAGGTGCCAAATGTTACAGCCTTTGGGGCATGCAGAAAAGTATGCCCTTC